AGGGGTGGGGGGGGGGACCCGAGAGAGGAGCGTGAGAGAATGCAGAGGACAGGAAAGGAGAAAACGCGCATTTAATGTAAAGTGAATTCTACAAACACGCACTGTTCGGCACTTGCGCCGCGCACAAACTCAAGCGGAGCGCGCGCGCGCACACACACACACATTCCTTGAGACGGAAAAGCGTCAGCCCTGACAGGTGTCTCCTGCCCGCCCTGAACCACACTGAACCGGTAAACACACACGCACAGGCGCGCGCACACACCGTTAAATCCCGCCTTGGGAGTGGGGTTTTGGTTGGTCTCCAGTAAAGATCAGTCCCTCCCGGACGCGCAGCTCCTTCCTGTCTGCTTTTTATCCACTTTCCCTCGGACTCGTGCAGGTTGTGCTGCTCGCGCTCCTCGGGTCCGTCCTGGTGTTTGCGGGCTGTCTCTCCACGGTTACCGCTCACTGCAGCAAAAACAGACTGTCTGAAAGACGGAGCGGGAGGGGAGGGAACAAGGGAGGGGAGGGTGGAGGAAGGGAGGAGGGGAGGGAGGGGATTATAATACGATTTGGCCCGCACCACCGGGATAACAGGGCCAGAGCAGGGGCCTACCGGCTGAGAGCGTCAGGGAGATGGAGCAGATAGAGACACATCTCCATAATGTCCCCTCCGCTGTGACTGCACGCGCTGACCTTATCGGCCTTTGAGGGATTGTAGCATCCTTGCAGAACAACACTGTAGGCTTTCTTGTGATCCTTTTATCTATATAGTTCTGAAAGGGACACGTTTCCTATGGGTTCAGGTCTGCTACACATCACTTCCTAAAGTAAGGAGGACGTTCTGCTGAGTGTCCTGGTCTTCAGTGTCTATGCAGTCATGAAGACTGGACAAAAAAAAAATAAAACATCTTTAAATTTGTAAGCACATTTCTGTTCAGATGCCATGACATGGTTTTATTTACCCACAGAAACAGCCGAAGTGGCTGAAACGAGCCCAGACCAGTGGAGATGTTTGGATGTCCAGCTGTCTTCACGCCACGGCCCTGTTGGAGCCCTCGACGTTTCTTCTTGACCCTTGTTTTAATCAGTCTTTCTCTCCTCACCATCAGCAGCAGACACATTACAGCCTAAACGGTCTGATTCCGCCATATTTGTTTACAGACAATAACCGTCTGGATCAAGCATGTGACTCAAGCCTCCACTTTTTCATAAAACTCCATCGCTTTGTTTACGTTGAGCGTGGACCCACAGAGTTGATTATCTGGAAAACAACCGGAGCGACTCCTTTAAACGGCACTACTTTAGTTCAGGTTTGATAGTGTGCAAACTGTAACCATTTCCAACAGACACGCTCCATCAGTTGCATTTTAATGTTGAACTTTAAGGAGTAGCTCCAAGAGTGGCTTTTCATGACAGCATTTTATTTTATATATATATATATATATATAAAGCTCCTAAAGCATTTATTTTCCTATTGATAATGTGCTCATTTTTTTATGAAGTCCTTCCACATCTGATGTTCCGTGCATCTGCCCCGTTTGGGAATCAGGAGCTCGTGGGTGGAGGGGAGGAAGGGCCTGTTCAACTTGCCAGAGAGGATTAGGGATTAGTTTTACTGGCGGATTAGGTTTGCGTGTGTGGTGAGGCATGATGGGGTTAAACGTGGATGGCGGCAGCCGCACGATGGCCCAATCGGTGGTGGAGACGACAGGACGGACGCCGGGGGAGGTGTTCAGGCAAATTCAAAACAAAACACTGCAAAAGGGGAGCAGGGAGGGGCCGGAGGACTTGATGACAAAACACTGCTGAGCATCCAGATGTTAGTAATGTAAAGGTTGTGGAAAGCTGGGGTCCATACCAGAGGTCCGGAGAGCCACTAAGTGAAAACATATTAAAGGGACTCATGAATCGAACATAAACAATGTTATCCTGAGCTGATCGAATCGTGCAATTTGAAATAATTTACTCCCGCAAAGCACGTTTAGCTGCGTATACTTTACTCCCAACAAACCGAGCGTGAAAACGTACCAACGCATCACAAGGGTCAGATTTCTCCATCTCCAATGTCTCGTGTGGACGGCGCCACTCTTGACCAATTTAAAGTCTTGGTTGTTCCACGGGCGACACGACAGTTGGCATCATCGCAAATTTAGCTCACAATGTTTTTAATTTAAAATAAAGAAAAACGTGCATGTTTTTTTTTTATTTGTTTTTATTTGGGCCGGCCTTCGCGGCACTGCAGTGAGCACCTTTAACATCTTCATTCAGCACGAGCAGCGCCTTGTAAAACAGCCCACAACACATCTTCATTAAAAAAAAACCTTTCCAGGCACCGGCTCTTTATCTCCCCCTCTGTCGCCAAACCAAATGGGAAACAGAAAAGCAGCATCTGGCACCATTAAACACTCCTTATGAGGGCGGGCGAAGGCTTTAAACGCTTTGTTTGCAGGCGCAGCAGATGAGGAGAGGTGCGTGTGGTTTCGAGGAGCGGACAGCTCCAGGTGCTGAAACCGTGCCTTTGACTCGGCTGCTCCAGAAACTGTCTGCATCGGACAAAATATGTGTTATTTTGTTACGACGGAGCTGCAGTTTCAAGGAATCTGCAACGTATGCTCCATTACAGGTTTTTGAGTCATATAATAAAATAAAAAAAACATCCTCCCCTTCTTCTGTGTTGCCTCCAACCAAATCAGAGTAGATGCAAATAAAGAAAATACATATGAGTGCAGACGTTTAAAGAAACGCACGCTTAATGCCTCCTTCCTAATTTCTCCATCACTATTTTTTTTATAAAAATTTCTCCACCTTTTCACCATCTCTGCCGGGACTCGAACCCGGAGCCTCTGGATTAGAAGTCCAGCGCGCTATTCCATTGCGCCACAGAGACTGAGGCACATTTTTCTCCTCTCAAAACCAGGTTTATACTCCCCCCACCCTTCCGTGCGCAGCATCCTGCTCCATCCCTCAGCATCAGGACCGCAGCGTGCGGTTTATACCCTGCCGACCGGTAGGGGGTGCTGCCGCCGCACTTCCCTGCCTCAACCCACCCCCCCACTGCTTCCAGGCAGGTTACCTCGTCAAAACACCATAAAGTCGCCATTACTGGAGCAAGTATAAATTTAAATCCTGTAAGTTCATCAGCAGTTAAAAGCCAAGGGGCTCGTTTCTTGTAAGGAATAAAAACCTCATGTTTTAATAGCTCAGCACCAGGTTTATTAAAAAAAAAAAAAATCCAACATATTTAAAAAAAAAAAAGGGTTTGGCAGGAAGTTTCATGCCATCCTGTGGAGCTGAAGCAGTTTTCCAGTCCATCATATTAGCAATTTGTAGTTCCCATGGATCTGTGGCTCAGGTCAAAAAGTGCCTGAAGCTTTGATTAGGCTCAGTCGTGCCAAACTCTGCAATCAGTCCATGCGATTCTCTTTTCACCATCATCTTACTGGGAAATCCAGTTTGTCAAAATGAAAATGGTTTGAGCATGCATCTTAGAAATGACGTGATTCTGAGGAGAAAGCATCAACGCTTTCATTTTTTTTTTTTAAACCCTGACGCTTAAACAACTTAAAGGTTAAAGATGAGGTCATAGACAAAAATATAAAAATAAAGCCAAATCTGCACATTTTTCTCATCTCAGCGGTTAACGTGTTCCTAAATTAAACATTTGTAAGTTAAATTTGTGACCGGATGCCAACTAAAATGTGCTGAAGTGACGAAAATTAAAACTTTAAACTTAAGGTTTGAGCTGATCGATGTTTATTTTTGACCGTTATCGTTCTCCTTTCATGTTCAGCAGCAGATCCACTTTTTGTTTCCACCAGAACATCTCTGAGGATCTACTCTTCTCTTTGTCCAAGAATGCCACAGAACTGAGCAGTTCTCCTTTTACAGATTCTCCTGTAAATGATGTAAATACAGTTTATGTATCAGAATTATTGTAATACAGAGACGAACAGATTGATCGGTTTGTGCTAATTCTCTGGTAGCCACTTCTCTCCGTACACGTTCTCCGAATTCCACCGGAAATTTTACTTGTTCACACATTTAAAGCCCGTAGCCGAACACGTGTTAAACACGATGCTGAGCTAAAGTTTTCAAAATGAGGCAAATTGTACAATTGTTCTAAATTCAAACGTCTTAAAATATGCCTTTATTTGACTTTCAGTAATTAAATATCTAAGGAACTGGACTAATTTTAATAATCACTCAAATGGTTTGTCTTTGTCACATTAAAACGGGATTAATTTTTAATTTTCTAAAACATAAGACTATAGTTGCACAGTTCCATGTTTACACAAAATGTCTCAGCTTCTTTTCATGACTTTAGTCTTTAAAAATAACATTACAAGCATCAATAAATGTAGATATTTAATTTCATATTCTAACAAAGGGGCTTTTCTTCCATCATATTTATATAAAAACCTAATGAGCTGCGTTAATCCTTCAATCTTTAGGCCCATTTTCAGACCTGGACAAACTTTATTGGGTAGGAAAATGATTTTTTATATTTTTTTTTGGTAAAAGTTGCAGATTACAGCCAGCTAATGTCATGTGGCTTAAACTTCTGCGTTGTTTTTAGCTCATTTAGCCAAATGATTAAAAAATAAATAAATACAAACGAGTTTGTGATTAATGACCAGAGCTGTATTTTAATCAAATATGCCGATGGCATGGCTCTGTCTGGACTACTGATGGAAAATAATCCCGCAGGTGAAGCTTCTTATTTATCTTACATAAAGGCCCTGGAGACGTGCTGCCGTCAGAGTAAGCTAGATGTAGCCAAGACAAAGGGACTAATGATATGCCTTAAACAAGACTTTAACGTGAAGCCAGTCTCACTCGATGGCCAACTTGTTGAAACTGTGGCAAATTTGAAATATCTAGGCTCATACCTGGACTCAACTTTGCTGAAAACAGTGAGCACATATTTAAGAAATGCTCACACAGACTCCGTCTTTTAAGAAAACTTAATGGTCTTGGGGTTAGTCAGCGAACTTTAGAGCTCGTGTACAAATCAACTGTTGAGAGCGTTTTAACTTTTCACCTCCCTGCCTGGTCTCTGAGCTGCTGACTAAAAAAAACTTTCAAGGATTGTTTCAATGTCAGGCAAATAAAAGCTGCGTCTCAACTGTTTGCAGAAAGAACAAGGAATATTTCAGCAGCTAGTCCTCTTTTCCGTCAGATCTGAGCTCAGGAAGGCGTTATAAGGTCCCTCTGGCAACGAAGAACATCTGTAAGAAGTCGTTTATTCCAAGTGCAACAACCATTCTTCACCAAACCAAATGAGAAGATGTAGCTATGCAAAGTGTTTTATTCTATGCACAAATTGTTGATATTTTTCCATCGTATCAATGCGTTTTATTTTATGGAGAGCCGAAGGATAATTTCCACCTTGGTGGACAATCGTGTTATCTGATCTTACACGGAGCGTATTTCAGAAACACAATCAACACATCTGGAAAACTACCAGAGGAAACTTGTTCAAACTGCACCGTTTAATCCAGGGTAACATTTGGTAGGTTTGATTTCATACGAGTACTTTTAAGCTCACAAGAAACTTTTTAGCAGCGGAGTGAAACTGCATTCAAAGTGGCAGGCAGACTCTCTTTGAGCCACCAGGAATAAATTGATAAAAAGATATTTGGAGCGAACATTTAAGCCCTCCAGTCGTTTCTCTCCGTGTAAATGTAGCTGATGTCAACGGGACAGATTTCCAAACCAGCTGTTGTTCACCTGAACATCACCCTCTTCTCTGTTTCATGTGCTCTTGTTACGCTTCACAAGCGGCGTTGGCTCTGACAGAACATCACAACCTGCTTTTATTCACACTGCGGGACAAACGCTGTTCAGGTGCCGTGTGGAGCTCCTGCGCGGCTCGGGGGGGGGAGGAAGCCTGGAGCAGGCTGCAGGTGAGGAGCGGGTTCAGGCGCACAGCTTCCACCGCTGGCCTACCTCGCAACATTTCAGCATCTCTTCTCTTTTGGTAAAAAACGCAGCCGAGCATCTGCGGCCTCGAGAGGGGTTAAAAAAAAAAAAAAAAGAGAGAAGAATAAACGCCTGTGATGAACAGCTCTTCAGACAAACACTGCTGCTCTCACCCTGGCAACGCTGGGAGTACTTAGACAAGAAAAAGTGATTAATGATGCTGACGTCACAGCGTGATTAGACAAATTACATAAGGACATAACATGTAGGACACGTCTAATTTGGGCTGTTCTCACGGAGAATAAGTGTGAAAAAAACTAGGTCGTGTTTAAATGCACTTTGCACTCCGCCACTTCTAATGACCCACAGCTTCTCACAGTAATTAAAACAAAACCACAACATTTCTGTGTGCAGCGGAATAGAATATTTATTTTGAGCTTTGATGAAATGAGGTCTGCAGTAGTCCGAAGCGTATAAACAAAAATCTGCATCCAGTCCTTTGGAGTCCCTCCGGTCCTCACTCCTCCCGCTCACATGAAAAGCAAGGCTACGGAGGTGATGACTGACAGGCCGATGACGGTGTAGCCGCTGCGGTAGACCTCTGGTATTTTGAAGCCTTTGCCAATATCCCAGCGCTGATAAATATAAAAATATATGTAAAAATCCAAATAAATAAAGAAAACAATATAAAATATGGAGAAGTCTGTTTAGATTGTGCGCCTCAGGAAATACAATCAGGTTTCTATTAAAGCAAAATGAGATTTCTCTGAAGGCAAAATGAGAAATCATGACAAAAAGGAAAAGCAACTAAATTACAGAGACCTGTCATGTTTTAAATGCTAAAGTCTGAGCTGCTCAGACAATCTCCACAAATACTACCAGCAGCACACAGCAGAATTTCAAATATACTCTACCGTCAACATATATATATATACATACAAATATATTCTGTTATTCTGTTCTTATATATTCTGCTGTTTGGCGTATTGTTTTTATGCTACTAGTGCTTTGTGTATATTTAGTTGATGTTTTTCTTAGTTCATATCTTAGATCTTATTACTGTTTTTCTTTGACATTTTATACTTTTGTTGGATGTAACTGAGACGCAATATATAAAACTGTACACAATTTCATTCCACCACATGTATCACATGGTGCATATGACAAAGAACCTTGAATCCTTCATATATACAGTGGTCCCTCGTTTATCACAAGGGATCCGTACATTGAAGACCTACGATAAGTGAAAAACTGAAGTAGGAATTGTAGTACAAGCATATATATATATATATATATATATATATATATATATATATATATATATATATAGGGTGTTTTAAACCCTTTCCACACTTGTGCAATATTCTAAACAATGTTTCTAAACTCTAAAGCTGTAAAAGAGCACAGAATGTCATGAGTTCAGCTTCCTGCTTCGTCTGATCTCAGCCACCTGCAAGCGCTCTTGGCCACGCCCACTTCTATGCTCTGCACGTAGAACAGCTGATCAGCTGCAGCAGGAAGCCTATCCTGCAGCATGGGCTGCACAAAGGTCCAGCAGGTGCTAAATACTTTAAAATAATTTATTTTAAATATAAATGCCGATCGTGCGGCTCATCCATCAATCAGACAATTTGTGCGTCATGTCCAATCTCATTTGGAAAAACCGCGATAGAGCAAGTCCACGATAAACGAACCGTGAAGTAGCGAGGGATTACTGTATTCATAACTGCAAAAAATGGGACACGTGTATAATGTATATAAAAAGAGAATGTAATGATACTTTATTCACATGGAACAACGTTAACACAAATGTTTAAACTCATAAAAATTGTTTTTGAATTTGATGGCAGCAACATATCTTAATAACAAAAGCAGGTACAGGTCCGTTCTCCCCTGTGAAGCGTCCCGTCAGTTTTACCAACAGTCTGTAAACATCCAGGAACTGGGACCAGCTGCTGGAGGTTTTGGAGGGAACCTCGTCCCACTTTTGTCTGATGGATTCTAGCTGTGCAAAAGTCCTGGGTCTTCTTTGCCATATTTCTCATTTTATGATGAGCGAAACGTTTTCTTTTAGTGAGACGTCTTCAGCATCCGGACTCTTGTACAACAAGCTCTGGCGTTCCTGGATGGTGTTCACCTATAGCTTCTTATTTGCATATAGCTTTAACATCTGACCTGTTTTTTAAAGCAGAGCTGCCTGAAGATCACAAACATCCATTATTACAGTCGGTCTTGATCGTTGCCTCTCTTACGAACCTGTTGCCTGTTCATATTTTTAAATATGAATGTTTCTGTTAACTTGTTTTATATGTGAATTTTTCTGTTCAGTGCTCTAAGACGACTTCTGTTGTTACTCGGCACTGTTTTTTTATTCGCATCATGTATACGTGACGTATTTATAGATGTGCTGCTGCCATTAAATTCAAAACTATTTTATCTTTATTTTTTTTAAAAAGGTATATTTATTTAATTTCAACACTTAATATGTTTACTATGCATAACGTATGGGTTTATGAGATTTGTGTTTTTGTTTACTTTTCAACCTTTTTGGACTTTGGGCTGTTTTCAGATGAGCAGCTCTTACCAGGTGACGGATCCCGTTGAAGGTGTGGAAAGATAAAGGGAAGGAAATGCCCAACTTGGCCAGCACGATGAGGTAAGGACCGATGGACAAAGAGTGGATCAAGTCCAAGTAGTAGGGGTAGTTTTCAGGTAACACCAGAGCTGCCATGGCGAAGGCTGAAACGGCTACACACAAACAGACGTACTAAAGATCAATGCTGGGTAACATGAGTGAAATATACATTTTACTTTTCCTGTCTCATGACCGTGTGAGTCACCTGATTATTTGCTGAATATTTCTAAATATACGGAGTTCCTCACTTAGATATTTACTTTCATCGACTTCAATAGACTGGTTATGTTCTGAATAAAAGCAGCTCTGTAACACTATCTAACAAAGTTAAGTCAGGTCATCCGGACAGAGTCTTCTCCATCCAGATGACCTGACTTAACCTCGTTAGATTTTCTGCCTGGATTAGTGAGCATGCAATTCAATTCACTTTATTTATATAGCGCCAAATCACAACAAAGTTGTCTCAGGGCACTTTACAGGAACATTCACATACATAGAAAAGCCAACTAGTAAAGTTCTCATCAGCATCAGGACACTCTGTAACATTAGTTTATAACAATATGCTGAAAACAACTCTTCACTGCCAGCGTCTTCTTCTGCACTCATGCAATAATTAAAAAACATGGTGTTAGTTGTTCATTTATATTTTGCAAAATATATAACATGTTCAAATAAACACAAATGGTAAAGTTTTGGAAAACGTCTACTTCTGAGGAAAGACATGACTTAAACACATTTAACCCAAGAATTGTGTGCTTATTCTGAAGTTGAGGCAGAGTTTTCTTACACTTTTACAGGCACAAATGATATCGTCAAGAAACTGAAAAAGGCTTTTAAAGTAATCTGCGCGTCAGACTGATTGTCGTTTTAGATCAAGTTGTCTTTTATTGACCACATCACCATGTATGCAACACTTTACTCCGTCTTTTCAGCATGTTCCATCGGTGCCACCAGCACTTATGTGTTTTATCCCAAAGACAAAAGTTTGACACTTTGCACCAGGCGCACGACTAAAAGCTTGTTCAACCGCCTTTTCACAAGCAAAGGTTTAATTGTTCTCAATGACATTTGCTTCTTTTATTCCAGTAAATGCTCTTAGAAGAAATCAATAGTGTAAGAGCTTAATGCCCTGAAGAGATTTTCAGGGTCGCTCTAAAGCACGAAGCGACCTCAAAGCCGAGGCTCACGTTGATGCCTGACTTAAAGCAGCAAAAAGTCAAACAGATTGAAAGCAATACCTTTGTTGTGGATTTTTGTGTATAATAAAGAAAAATTAAGCCCAAAATGTTAAAAGTGCGTGTGTTACCTCCAGCGAGTCCTATTCCAGTTCCTCTGTGAGTGATAGACATCATCATGGGGACGGACCATCTTAAACACAAAGAGGACGCCACATATTTACAATATTGGTAGATAGGCATGTACATACATCAATCTGAAAATATCATACGGTAAGCTTTCAACAATGTTTACGTGAATTTTCAAAACCATTTTATCTCCGGTAAGGCTGTGATTATCTGTGTCACTGTAAATTTCCAGTTTTACCGTTCACGTTACAATAAAAAACTGAATTATTAAAGCACAACTGCAATAGTGGCAGGTCTTCCTCACCAGTTCTGCTACATTATTAACAATTATTCTAAGACACTAAAAATAATAATAATTAATTTAAGGAAAAAAAAATCAAAGTAGACAGAGTAAAAATATTCAGAGTTGGTATAAAAGCAATTGCAAAAACATGCCTTTCTGCACATTCTATAGCCAAAAGAATAACAACAATACATCTTGGAAAATCTTTAGGGTAAAATCTAAATGCCTAAGAAAACTGTTGTCAAATTTACAGCACAATTTTATTAGCAACAGATTTATTTCAATTCTTGTAACAGTCCGTTACTAAGTTAAGGTGTTAATTTACAAAAATAATTTAGTATTTTACTTTACTTTTTCTGATTGCACTAAAAGTCAACAAATTAGGAAATTAATTATTTTCAGACTGGCTGATGTTTTACAGTTCATATTGTGTCTCGAAAATTGTACAAACAGCCCTGCCAGCGCTCTTTCTTTGTTTATAATCTAAAAGTTGCACACGAGCTGGCCATCGCGCAGTACTTACTTGTATATTGTGATATGAGGAGACACGGGTCTGTTTAATTTGGTATTCTTTGCCCAAAATTTATCCATCTCCTCTTTAGCTGTGGTTCCCATCGGAACAGCACTGGAAAAAGAGAGATATGGATGAAATAAGAAACGAAAAATAATGATGAAAATTGCCGTTGTCTGTATCACGAGCATTATTTCAATGTAAAGTCTTACACAAACACAAAACTCACTGTCTGAAGAGGACATTGTACTGAGATTTGGACGTGCAGACACCCTGGCGGGCCAGCGTCCTAAAATGGGAGAATTGAAAACATTCTTCATTTTATATTTAAAAATTTTCACTCAAACACCATGTGGGTTTGTAATGACTTTGAAATAAAAACAGAGCTACATAAACAGCCGAAGCAATAAAAAGAACAAATCATTATTAATCCTTTAACCTCAATGATGCAGCCCAGTGTTTCCAAATCCAGTTTCACCAGATCCTCTGTCCTGCATGTCTTGCTCATGTTATCACATATGTCCAAATAAACAGGTTTTGATCACGTGTACAGAGTTACCTGATAACCCGTTATGTTGAATGCTGTGTGTGTACGGAGCAGATCATCATCATTATCTGAAATTTACCTGTGCATACAACTGTGGCACAATACGCTTATTGTGCTCATGTTTGACAGCAGAAACTGAAGTAAGAAATGTTGCTACAACAGAATTCTTAGACAATCAGCAAATTATTAAAATTAATCTTTGGACAACATTTATTAAAGTCAAACCTATTGAAACCAAACAACAAAAAGAACGACACATTAGTGTTTACTGCAGTTTCACATAATACAAAATAACTTAAGCTCAATATAACTTCTGGAATTATTATTATTAAATATGAATGTTTCTGTGAACTTATTTTATATATGAATGTTTCTGTTCAGTGCCCTGAGATGACTTCTGTTGTGACTCGGCGCTATATAAATAAAATGAATTGAAAAATACCAAACGACAAGTTCCTGTTTTGGTTATACTTCTGGGTACCAACACCTAAATTATTTATTTATGTATTTCACAGGCAATATGTTCAGCTAGAACAGCCATTTCGGATAAATTAGGTGAACAAAGCTGATATCGTTTGATTTTCGTCTGGCAGACACAAATTAGTGAGCTATCTGTAAATCTAAGCTGTTTTGTGACAGAAACGCTAAGCACCAGTATTAAAAAGAGCAGATCAGGTTAGCGTGATGATCCATATCAAAGCTAAAACTTACAACAAAATCGTTTCAGTCCGTCATTTATGAGATTTAGAATCAAAGTCCATTCATCTAATGCATCGCACTAGAAAGTCAAACAACATTAGCCCTTTTGCTAACGTTAGCTGGAGCTCCTACGTTCACAAATATTAATAATAAACGGAAATGAGAATATTTACAGTCGTGATTTGTTTAAATTTCTTTTAAAATCATGCTGTAAATGTGACAATGCCCCTCGTTACCTTCTTAAAAACACAAAAAGGGTTGTCTATGAGAAGAAAGTTATGTAGCGTAGATACACTGACCTTAGAAGCAGCGCCATGTTTGACTTGCAGTGAGCGGAAGTGACGTAGAGGATGTTGTTGTTCTGAGCCGCGTGATTTAAAGCCGAAGTAATAATAGTTTCTAAAGCAAAATTTTAAACCAGAAATTCCGTTCATAAAATGTTAACGTAAAAAATAGGAAAGTTAAACTATCATTATTATTATTATCATCATCATCATTGGATAAATTGATATCTTACTAATGTTAACTATGACTTCCACGATAAAAAATAAACAATAAGATCCTGCGCTCTTTTTTTCTAAAATAAACATCACTGATATTTCATCAGAGAAAGTAAAAACAATTTCCAAAAAATGGGGCCATTGGCTGTGTAAAAAAATGTATTAGTTTATCAGGTTTTATTTAGTTTATAAAGTAAAACAACAACATATACTAAGAAATGCTGCTGGTTTTGATCTATTATAAGATCTTAATAAATAATTTGGTTTTGATTGTTTACCATTCTTGTCATTAAAGGAATGCAACTCCTAAATAATTGTTTAATAATTAAATTAAATTAAAATATTTTATCTAAAGAAAAGATTTGCGTTTTGTTTTTAAAGCAAGATATTTGTTATGAAAATAATTGTTATTATTGTCATGACACCTGGGGCTGAGCAATGTGATGAAATGTCCATCATGCAACATTTTCAGCTTTAATTGGCTGCCAATCGGACCACTGATTTCTGCTTTTCAAAATCATGCCTTTATTTTTTTGTGGGTTTGAGATAATTTGCAGCAACACAAGAATACAAATGTTTATATGTCAAAGTAAATAATTATGTTAAAGCCATCATCTCAAGAAGGCATTCTTAAAATTTTCTAGATAAAATAAATACATTATTTTACAATAACATCATAAGAACACATTTCTGAGCACAGCTTCCATAAGAAAATGTAATCTGGCCGGGTAGTAAACAAACCCCACTTTCTTTACAACCAAACTCGTACAACTGCAGTATTCGACGTTCTGTTCTTGTACAGTTGCATATTTTATCAATCCACTTGTGTGTCTTGAGAAATAAAGGGCTGGGCGTCATTTAACTTCCTGAATCTTGATGAAACCAGAACTGAAGTAAAAGTTTTAGGAGGCATTACTTGGTCCTCCCTTGCAGATCCTTGGCCCAGTTCTTCAAACTGTGAGGATGTAAGGGTTGAACTGGATCCTGAACTTGAGCTGGACAGCCAGATCGGGGAAATTATTAAACTGAGTTTTTATCATTTGAAGAAGCAGACCAAAAAAGCACTTTGATACAGAAATCCATGCCTCTGTCACCACTCGGCTGTATTACTTTAGCACATTTTTTGCTAGGATTAGTGGGTCCTCTACTCGCCAGCTGCAGAGGGTGCGACTTTTAACTATCACACATAAATGTGAGCACATCACCTCCATTTTATCCTTTAAATTTTATCCTCCTCCGCTGACTGCTCGCACATTTTAGGATCTATTTTAAAATACTTTCATCTGCTTTAAAATCTTTAAATGGCCTTGCTTTATTCTACCTTTCCAAGTGGCTACACCCCTATAAACCCACCGGCTCACTCAGATCAGCTGACCAGCTTCTCCTGAGCGTCCCTAAAACTCAAGCTCAGGAGAGATCACGCTTCCAAATTGTACGCACATACGAGGATGAAAACTAAACCCGCTGAAGAAATATTTGAATGCACAGGAAGAAAAGACGTGAACACTCATAAAAATGTAGAAAACTGCCTAGTTTAGTAAGTTAATGATACCTAGAAGCTCCCTTCAATTGCATTTCAGACTATCAGCACTTACAGTAATGTCTAAACGGGGAAGATGAATGCCTGACTGTAAATAAGGATTTGGATGATTGAATGAGAATTATAACAGTGAGTCAAAGCAGCAAGGAAAGACAGACCACACCAGCTATGAAGGAATCCATTTTATTTTTTAAGTTCCACATAATGAATATCATTTGGCGTCACTTTATGACCGAACAGGCCACGATACATCACTTTGGTAAGAGCTTATACAAGACACAAAGGTGTACATGAAAACCATCCTGCTGGAAATGTTCCTGATAAAACAGGAAGGAGTAAAACTCGAAGTACAATCAAAAGCCTATTTTCAGCAGTATTTTATGATAATCAGATTTGTGAACTGATCCATGCAATATTACAACTGACAGACGCGCGCGCAGTTTTACCCTCACGAGCTCAAAAATAACACATATAAATGCATACACACACACAAAATTCAGACTGACATTTCCTGAATGTTAATAATATGTCTCCTGCTCCACCCAACCTGGAAGAAATGAAGAGAGAGGAAGAAAAACAAAAGGGAGAAAGTGTCAGAGAGCAAAATGACAGGCGAGCAGGTTCCATAATAACCCTTTGTATCGCTCTATTTGTATTCAACTCGCCGCCTTTCTCTCCGTACATTTCCAAATGAATCCCCTTATAACTCAGGCTCTCAGCGAGCCGTGACTCACAGATTAACAGAAATGATTAACTGTCAGCATAGATTGTATTTGTCTCCCTGTGTCTTGGCCCTCATCAGCTGAAACACCATGGCAGAGAGCACATTTGGAGCCATTGTAGGGTGTCCATATCATGTATATAATCTTTGGAGCATATCTCAAGAGTTTACATCAGCCGGCTTTAATTTCCTCTCTAATCATTTGCCATTGGCTTTGTTGTTAATCAGGTATGCTCTATTTCCTCCTCTAACTTTGACATATTGTACGTTTGTTTGTTGACAACCATCGCACGGTACTCGCTTTACACATTACAATGCCAGATCTAAAAGTCAGGCCAAAGAAGAAATGGTAAACATTTAAAGAACGTAAAATCCTGACGAAAAACCAAAGGCCTCATGTGCAAGAGTGTGTATGTATAAAAACAGGTGTTTGTCCTTAATCATATAAACTTCAGAGGTACAAAGAATACACCAACTTCAGTACGTGGAGAAAGGTGTGTATGCCACCTTCATGGTTGGTGTACACGTTTCCACATGTATTGGTTTGTTGGCAACAACTAGAGGATGCGTATGGAAACTTAATGTTAGAAAAGTTACAACAAAGACATACAATTAACAATTAATATATCCATGTGTGGGCAGCACGGTGGCGCGACTGGTAGAGCTGCTGCCTCTCAGCGAGCAGGTCCTTGGTTCAAACCCCGGTCCAGGGGCCTTTCTGGGTGGAGTTTGCATGTTCTCTCCGTGCATGCGTGGGTTTTCTCCGGGTGCTCCGGTTTCCTCCCACAGACCAAAAACATACATGTTAGGCTGATTGGTAACTCTAAATTGCCCCTAGGTGTGAGTGAGAGAGTGAATGGTTGTTTGTCTCGTTTGTCTCTATGTGTCCCTGTGATGGACTTGCGACCAGTCCAGGGTGTACCCCGCCCCTCGCACAGTGATTGCTGGACATGGGCACCAGCGACCCCCGTGACCCAAAATGGAATAAGCGGGTAAAAGATAATGGATGGATATCCATGTGTATGAAAAGAAACAAAACAAAAACAAACTGGCACTCATTAATCACTGGTTTAGCCTGGTCAAAGACTTTTGGCTCTTTCTAAATACGCCATGCTCTGAAACTGAAGTCACGGCCGATAAGGTACTAACTTTTAAAAACTATTAAACAGAACGTCAAGTCAAAGTTGACTGCAATATTTATTTGAAGCGAGTGCGAACCAGTGCAAAAAAAACCCAACCTTCAACAACAATGATTTTCGCCTTGTTAGAGGATTATACACGTGGCAAAGTGCTACGAGATGTGGTTTTTAGATGCCAAGAGGACTTTCTAGCCCAACATAGTGACTGGAGCTTCAGCTGCTTTATGTTTCCAAGGGCCATCCTGCTGGAACTGTGCTCTGAGTTGCAGATGCAACAGGTGGTTTTCCTAATGTAGCCATCGACTGTGCATACATTGCTTAATGGATCATGGGCTGAATGGATCAGATCTTGGGGATTTTTACTCAGTCATGTTCCATCGGTGTGGCCATGTTAATTTGGACATTTCGGAACCGAGTGGACCAAACACAGACTCAAGGTAGATGTCATTAAGTTCTGCCTGTCCCCAAAACAACTGTGTTTATCTGAATTTGGCTCCCTTGGCTGGCCTTGAAGGCCATCTTATCTGAATTTGCCTGGAGAAAATGTGATCTGATGCTCACCACCCATTCCCTGAGGAATTTCCAACTGATAACCAGATGAAACCCCGCTGAAAAAACTTTGTGTCATCATTTCAGGACTCTGGATTCTCAGGGGTTATTCTTGGCCATTCCTCGACATACTTTGAGAATGTTTATGGATCTCACCGGAGGACATTGACTGATTACAGTGACCTCGAGAGCATCTGTAAGCGTTGCTGACCGCTCTCGTCTCTTCCTTCTTCCTGCTCTGCTCTATTGCAGAATGTCTAAGTAAATATGTGCTTGTTTGTGCGAGGTGTTTTTTCAATTTTAGAGGTTTTTCTCAGCCAAGAAAAAAGTCTGATAGGAATTTTTTTCGCCTCCAATTCCTACATGTGTCCAGTTAACCACTGTTTTGTCTGTCCAAACAGGTCTCACTTGTAAATGAGTCTTCGAGGCTCAATGTGATTTATCTGTTTAAATAAAGGTTGAATACAATGCTTAAAAAAACCTAACGGAAGAGTATGTTGGTGCACAGGAAACATTTTTATTCACTCACTGTGCAAATTATATTTATGTGCATGTGTGAAGCACACATGACCTGGTTCAACACCATTCATTTTAATACCAAAGTCCATGCTCAATAATCCAGGCATAAAATCCAACAATGCTCAGTGAGGTCATCCGGACAGTTATACACCATACCTGCTTTTTTTCCACGTTGGAGTAGGCTGTTGGGGGAATATCAGTTTTGTCTGGTGTTTCCTCAGACTGATGAAGCCTTCTGGATGGAGGGCAAAACGTCTCAGCACAAAAAAAGAAACTTTCCGGATGACCTGACTGAACATTGTTGCATTCATTCTAATGCACATGGTTGAGCACAGGCTGGTGCGATGCGGGATGGGAGCATCTTGTTGGGTAAATTTATTTGCCTTTGACATGTATTCACGGCATTGTTACTAATCAGCAGTTCAAGAGAGTGACTTCCTGTTTTTTTGCTAGTTAAACTAGTTTCAGAGCGCTCAGAGTGCCTTTGTGTAGTTATATCAGTAAAGAAGTGTAAAATTTGAAATGCCTCAGCTTCAGAAGTGCGCTCCCACGTCTCTGTGAAGCTCCTCTTCCTTCCACGTGTAGACATGATTTTTGTTTGTAAAGGGCAGATCTGTGTCTATTTGCATAGAAAAAAGAAGGAGTTTGTCTCATGTGCGCTTGTTATGTGCATGAGGCACATTTTTGTTATTATTTGTCCTTTGGACTTATTTTGGGTTGATTAATTGAGCCTTGATTGTTTTAAGCTGTGGCGTCTTCGCCCACCTATAAATAGGTTGGTCTTCGGGAGCTTCTCCACTTCTCTCAGAAGCTCTCTGGCTGCCCTTGTTTTGTTTTGGGATAATTTTTTTTCTGTCACTTATCCTGCCCAGGATGCGTCCGGATGAGGTATGCCGCTGCCGCCATCCTCTGCCTAACAAGGTTTGTTAACTTTCTTTTATTTTTTTTTATGGTAACGTTAGCCTGGTGGGACCGGTTGTCCTGTTTTCGCTTTTTATTTTGCACCAGATGTTTTTGTAGGTTTATTTCTAGTTTTAGTCCGGTACCAGCAGCGGTTTCGACAGCCCTGTATAAGGTTGGCCCGCTGGAGAACCTTTTTGTTCAGTTTGACCGGCTCACCCGGTCCATTTTTCAGTTGATACTTTGGGTTTTTGTGTCTTTTTGGTGGGCACAGGAATTGGGGGTTCTTCTTTTTCATCTTTCCCCACAGGAAGCAGTTTTTTTAATAAATTGAATGTGGAACCCTCAAGTTTGAGTCACATGTCCTCCTTTTAATAGGTTGTGTTCATGGTGGATGTAACAGCGCTCAGTTTCATATTGATTGGGATGTACAAAGAAATGTCCTTGGGCTCATGCATTTGCACTATTTCATACATCTGAATTATTTTGTGCTTACCCCATTTTTTTTAAGCGTACATCCCGTTATGGAAGGAAATCCACATAAATGTGTAAATGAAGCCCTTGATGTTTTCACCTCCCAGAAGCAGCTAAAAAGTTGTGTAAAATTGGTGAAACTCTGGCACCCATAAAGCATTTGGCTCAAGTTTCAGATCCAATTAGACCTCAGTGGTTCTTCCATTGTTTGATATTCACCAGCAGAGATTTTCCAGTTTATGAGCTGTGATTTTATGCTCGATTTATTAAATAGAATTCCAAAAGCAAACTGCCTGACAGTGGTACATTTACATTCTGTTTAGTCAGAAACCAAACCTGGAAGTCAAACTGTGATTATTCAAGTGTTGCAGCTTTGAAAGCTGGAGACAAGTTCAGCACCGAACGGCTTCCATTCTGCAGAAAGGCTGATGATGTTCAGCTGCACCGCGACACTGAGGCCTAAAGTTTCTTCTGCAGCGAAAGCCTATTTTAATGAGAATTACTACAAGATCCTGCTTCACAGTGCATGCTTAATAAACAATGATGCTATTCAGATCTGTCAGATATTCAAAGTTGCTTTCTCTTCTTTGTGCACATCATGAAAGATTTCTATGAGACAGCTGCAACCAGTGCTAAAAGTCCCCGCCTTCAAATTAGTTCTTATATCATAACACCAAAATAAAAGCCGACAGTAATCACCCATGATTGTAACTCATCTCACAGCCATTTTTGACACAGTTATGTTATATAGATCTATTATTCATGTAGGAGCAAACCTTGAAACAAAGGAACAGGAACAAAATACAGATTATAAGTCTTGTGTGATTGGATGGAGGTTTGTTTCTATATTAGTGCTGCAAAAAAAATGAAGGACCTCCTTTAAGTAGATTTTACTGTGAAATGTCAACACATTTAAGGCCTTTTGTGTCCTTTTGTGCAGGTTTGACAAATGTGTTAATCAATAACCTTAAATTACAAAATCCTATGTGCTGTTACTCGTGATAAAGTTTGATTTGTTGAGTCAGAATTGAGAGTTCAGGCTGTTGCTTTTCTAAATTTAGATGCAGTCTTAGCCGTCGCTTCAAATCATCAAACCATCCTGCAGATATTTTTTCCCTTTGCATTTAGTTTAACAAGTCAGAGTTTAAGGTTTAAGGTTAATCAAAGAATAACGTGGCTTTTATTGTTCATTTGGCTGCTCCCGTGTGCAGGGGTCACCACAGCAGACAAACTCACATGAAAGAGTTGGTAATTGTTTTACGCTGGATGCACTTCCTGAGGCAAACTGGGCTCAAACCTGCAGCCTCGGGATAACAAGACCACAACATGAACCACTGGGCGAACACAGCCTCAGCAAAATAACTAAAGTTTTTAATGTCACGCTAGTTCAAATATTGAAATTCATTGTGTCATACCAAGATTAATAATAGATGCATGGTTCCCAAAGTGCTGTTTAATTAAAAAAAACTCACATTTGTATTTTCTGTCTGATGTCACTTCACGCAGTTTTTTTTAAATTCTGGTTATTTGGACGGACTCTGACACTCGTTTTCACGTGTGCACATAACCGCCTGTCAAAGGTCAGCTGGGATGGCTCACCTGGCTCAGTCCTGACATTTGTTGAAGTGTCCTTGGGCAAAATAGTGTATACCACCACCCTACCCCCCATCCCACTGACCCCAATATGCTCAACATGCATGGTTTTAACTTAAAGCTCTGCAGGTGTAAAAGGTAAAACGATCTTGTTTGTCTTGTATCTTATAGAAGCTAGTCGAGGTTAAAAAGGTGCTACACACTACCTGTGGACTGTTGAAAGGGATAGTTCAGATCTTTTGAGGTGGGGTTTTGTAGAAAGGTTATAAACAATTAATATCTTACCTGTTGTTGCTAACTCTTTGACCAACAGCAATTTGGAATTTACTTTCTGAACAGATTTACAAGCTAATGGTTAGTCCACGCAAGACTACTAGCTTTTAGTTTCTAGGTAGTCTTTTGCTTTCTTGATTTTAGCTTGTTTTTAGCTACAGTGTTTTATGCCGTACACGTCGCATCATTCCAAATACGTCAAATAAATTGGAAAAATCCATCAATATGTCGCTTCGCCGTATACGTAGCATCCATTATGCGTCACCACTGACGCGTCGCGTTTGTTACGCGTCACCGCTGACAACCCGGAAACGTGGGCCGGTGTTGTGCCTAAAATCGATGGGCTGCCAAACGGCGGCTGCGGGAGCGTGCACAGGAGGACTTTAGAATTTAACAGGATTAACATTTAAAAACAATTATTTGTTTGCTCGAAATTATAGCAAAAGTGTTCCTAGTCTAACTTTTGCTTAATAAATGCACTTCAACGGTCAAATCAGCTGCATTTCACCGGGGCGGCGCAGCGAAATGCAGCTGATTTGGTTGCTCCATGCAGACGACAGTGGCAGGCTATGGCTAGCTAACTGGGTCATTAAGTCACTTTTACCTATTACATGATACAATGGCATGCCTTATTACTCGAGTGTCAATTTTTTTCAGTCAGAATGAATGAAAACGGTCATATCTCAGCCAAAAATTGGTTTATAAATATGGGGGAAAATCCATAAATACGTCGCTTCGGACTATAAGTCACAGAGCATGCAAATTATGCAAAAAAAAAAAAAACAACTTAAATAGCGAAAGATACAGTACTTTTGGCTTTTAGCTAACATTTTGTATCTTTTAATTTTAGCTAGTGTTGTACTTTTCTTAACTTAAACAACTCCGTTTTAGCCTCTTCTGCAAATTTCAGCAATTTTTCTATTTTGCATAAAATTCTGTAATCTTTAGGATGCAAAAACAAAAGCATCGGCAGCTTGATGTAGCACTTCCAGAGCAGCCTGGATCATCATCATCACAAAGTGGAAAGAAATGTTCAAGGTTGGAGTTGTTTTGAGATGCCAGCAGTCTGGCCTTGCATGCACAAACTAGCTGTTAGCTTGCCAAGTTACAAAGAATAAAAATACATTTCTCCAAATTCAGGTAATCTAAAAAGCTATGAATAAAATAATTTATGTTTATAACCTTTCCAAAGAACCCCACTTCAAAAGATCTGAACTGTGCCTTTAACATTTATCAGAGTAGAAAGGCTGCAAAATGTACAGAGGATGACATCGTAATAGTTGTTGTTTTTTGTTTGTTTTTGAAAATGACATCCATCATTTTTCTATTATTTACTTTTTTAAATAATTAAAACCAAGTTTTAAACATGTTGATCCTTATTTCCCTTCATAAATGCTTACCTCCGGGGTTCCTCCGCAGAATTAACTTACGGACCTCATCATACACAAATATGAGAAGACTGTAGGGCAAAGCACAGAACCACCAAAGGATCCTGAGAGTGAGAAAAAAAAAAGAGTGAGACGGGCGGAGTAATGCAAAGAGCGAGGAGTCTGAGGCTCAGAGTGCAAATTGTTAAATTCATTGCAGTCAATTCTGAATATTAAGGATAACAATGTGGTGTTTAAGAGGATCATAGACTTCATTTGAAGTTCAGAGTGACAGGCTAATGGTAGACTATTATGGCTTAAAGGGGTTATTTTTCGGTTCAGTGAACATGCGCATATACGGTGCATACTTCATGGGGTACATGCGCAAGGCCACATCCATTCCCGGGCAGTAAGAGAGGAAGGCAGCCAGGGCTGTCTCAACAAAAAGGCCGAAGATCAGGATCCTGTTCCTGTTGAGCAGAAACGACAAAGAAAAGAACAGATTCATTGGGATGACGTCATCAGAAGAGTTTCAACTTTTACATTTGATAAAAACAGCCCCCCTTTTTGTTTGTCCAAGCGCCACTGATGATCGCTCACACTTACTTCATGCCTTGCTGGTAGAGAGAATTCCTTCTGGTCTTGCAGATGATAAGATCTGCCCACTGGACAATCACAATGCTGGAGAAGAAGGCTGTGTGGCACGTGAATTCAATGATCTTCCTCTGTTCGTAAGTCTGCACGAGCGAAACGTACGTTTTTCTGTTTTGCAGGAGTTTCGTAATTTTCACAAAGGTGTGCGGATGAGCGGGTTGCCACTCCTTACCCATTGCTGCCCATAGCTGTCCTCCAGCTCGTTGAAGTTGCGGTCGTCCCAGTTGATGCGGACGCCCACGAGTTCTGCTGGGCGGAAGCCATTTTCAGCCAAGATAACGAAGTAGGTGAAAAAACCCGCCAGAGCCTGGATCATACCTAGCGTAAAACACATGACTGCGGATGAGAGACTAAAAGAACAATGATGACAAGATGCTGCTTTTTAAAGTGCTGTAAAACATGGCTGGAGTATTTTATCATTATGTTCTTTTGCGCACCACAGCGACTTTAATTGTAGAGAAATTATAGACAAATGTCATGTCATGTTAGTTTAGGAAATTCATTCATAGCTCGTTAGTTACTCCAAACATCATTTTTCATCATTTGGATGTGTGACTTGTCTGACATGTCTGTTAAAAACTATAATCCCTACTGAGCTGTAAAAATAACTGGCAAAGGCTGACAAAGATGCTTCTGTTCTTTAATCCTTTATTGAATAATATGCAGGCGGCACTGTGGAGCAGTTGGTAGAGCTGTTGCCTCGCAGCGAGAAGGCCGCCGTATCAAATCCCGGCCGGGGACCCTTCTGGGTGGAGTGCATGTTTTCTCTGTGCATGAGTGGGTTTTCTCCGGGTACTCCGGTTTCCTCCCACAGACCAAAAACATGCATTTTAGTCTGTTTGAGATAGCAATGGTGTGAAGATTATATTTTTATAAGTTAATGGTAAAGTTTGCGTTGCCTTTAGTTTATATTCATTTATTTGATCAACCCAAGCTCAGGACAGAATGTGTAACTGGCCTGCAAAAAGTTGCAGTTTCAAAATAAAAGCTCACAATTTAGACAGTGACAACATTTTCAGTAGGCATTTCCTTTTTAATTATCTGACATCATGCATTAAGCTCATATCGCACTGCTTGGCTTTTACACTGAGCTACATTCAACTTGTCACTGTGAGACAATATTCACAGTCAGCACTGCTGATTGGTGTCTAACACGTAGAACAAGGAACAAATGGTGATGGGGTGTTACTTTTCAAAGCATCATGCTGGAGAACTGTCCCATTCTGAACAGCATTCTCATTTTTACTTCACTTTTCTAAACCATGTTTATTTCCCACAACCATGAAAGAAGGGCAATCATGTAAATGCCTGTATATTTGTGTTTGGTCGTCTTTTAGCAACAATATCTTATTGTTATATTGTATATCTTTTAACGAAACTCTCAAGTTATCGAACGTTCTACAACCGATTAATTTTTGTAGTCAATCAATTTCAAGATGGTCGCCATAGCTTAGTGACCTGAGCAAACAAAAAAAACATGGGATAACCTGGTCAGTTTTACAGATAATGAGCTAAAATCTGGTGCGGTACAGGATGAGACTCCTTCCCAACACAAACTCTGACTGCTAATAGTTTATACAAGGTTTTAGTTTAAATTTGGCATGCAAGGCAGCGGGTGAAAGGCGTTATTTCAAGAAATGTCAGTTTCATTACAAAAAAACTGCTCAATATGTAAAGTTAGACCTTTATTAGGATGCAATGTTAGGTTTAAATGTTAGAAATCACTTGTTAAGATTTTGAAAAGCATACATTATGATGCTTTTTATTTTCTGTAGGTCATGGATCCCATCACGTCACACACATCCTTCTACAACTCAGCCTAACTTTATTTTTATAGCACAATTTAAATGCTAGTGTCCAACAACACCGGTACACAGACAACAGCATGGCAACAATATAATGTATGATATAAAACCAGAAAAGGGTGGATTGCTCTCTTCAGATCGATGGTGAGGTTCTGCCTCAAGTGGAGGAGTTCAAGTATCTCTGGGTTTTGTTCATGAGTGAGGAAAGAATGGAGCGTGAGATTGACAGACGGATAGGTGCAGCGTCTGCAGTATTGTGGACTCTGTGCCGGTTTGTTGTGGTGAAGAGGAAGCTGAGATGTAAGGCAAAGTTCTCTGTTTGCTGGTCGGTCTACGTTCCTACCCTCACCTATGGTCATGAACTCTGAGCAGTGACTGAAAGAACGAGATCATGAAGAAAGGTTGCTGAAATGAGTTTCCTCCGCAGGGTAGCTGGACTCTCCCTTAGGGTGAGAAGTTCAGTTATCCAGAAGAGACTCAGAGTAGAACCGCTGCTCCTCCACATTGAGAGGAGCCAGTTGAGGTGGTTCAGGGTAAAGATGCTACCTGGGCGCCTCCATAGGGAGGTGCTTCGGGCATGTCTGACTGGGAGGAGACCCTGGACACAATGGAGAGACCATGTCTTTTGGTTGTCCTGGGAACGCCTTGGAGATCCCCCAGAAGAGCTGGAAGAGGTGTCTGTGGAAAGAAATGTCTGGACCTCCCTGCTCAAGGTGCTGCCCCCGAGACCTGACTCCAGAACAAGTGGAAGATAATGGATGGATGATATAAAAATATAAAAACACATAAAAGATAATAAAAATGTAACTGACATTCAAAACAAAACATCTTGAGTTAACTTTCGATTGCACTGAGGCTGTTGGTGGAAGGTGGCTCCAGAGGGGAGGGACCTCCACCCAGAAAGGTCCCGGGCTGGGATTTGAGCCTGCAACCTTCTTGCTGAGGGGCGGCATCTCTACCAACTGCACCACCGTGCCACCCCTGACAGCAAACTGTTCTTAGTAATCTGAAAAGGACAAAGAGTTGCTTTAGTGTATTTACTACAACAGCAGCCAAAGGACGCCCTGCCGTCCTGCACCTCCCTGCATGTTTTGGAGATTCAGAACAAACAACATCCTCATTTACATTTGGTACCCGAGCTAGAACTTTAGCGTTGGGGGTTTTATGAAACAAAACATTTAGACTATTTACAAGAAAGGATCAGGAGAGATGAAAGCAGAATCCCACATCCCCCAAAACAAAGCTGATGTTTGAAGATTCCAGCTTTGAAAAGCTGCTTTGTCACTGTCAAATCCATATTGAGGCATTAATCATAGCAGACAATCATGTAAATCATTTCCCATGTGTTGAACAGCAGGGCAGGGCAGTGCTGCTGCAGAGCAAGAAAGTGGACCAAAACATGACAAACAGATCTGCACAAAATGACCCAAATCCACAGAATGTGCATTTAATGAGGCTGTAATGGCTGTGCACAGCTCTGCGCTCGTGCTTCTCTGCCTGCTAAGCTCCAGACGGATGAGGACTGCAATATGAGGTGATAGGTTTGTACCATTTTATGTTGGCAAATTTGGTTTGTCAAAGTGAGCATTTTCAGCGTGACATCTTCACGTGGTCACGCGTGTCAAACTGAAACAGCTCCTCTCAGTGTTTGCTGTTCAGTATCTTGGTAAATTAAAACCCTGAAGGAGGTTAGTGTTGTGCTAAAGGACAAGAGAAGTGTTTTCTTTGGTTCATCGCAGTTAAGTGTCACCTAGAGTTGCCTCTTGAGTTAAATGTTTATCTCAAACCTCAGGTCCTCCTGCCGTAATGTCACATAGGTGGTGCATAAATGTGATTTGTTGCATCTTGCAAAAAAAATAAAAATAAAAATCCATCCTGTTTATGGAAATTAATGCTCAGAATCGATGCTTGTTGCCGTCTGTTCATGAGCGTGTGGAGTTTTAAAAGAGGCGCTGTCACTTTTCGCCCTATTTAACAGCGTATGAAATTGGGCCAGCCTTTGATCTCTCCCTATTCCCAAACCATATAAAACCAGAGATAAGCAGCGCGTGTTCAAAGTGAGCCGCCGACCACTAAAACATGACCAAGATGAAGTGGTGCTAATAGCTGCTCTTGTTGCTCTCAATTTGCTGTAAATGTCACGACAATTAGAAGAAAAATGAAGGGATGTCTCCTCAATCTCGATCCTGGTCTCCAAACTAAACAGTTATAGGTGCCATGAAAATGGTCAGGGTTTACGACGAATGTCAAAATTTAAAGTTTTGATGTCAGGGATGTTTATTATCACTGTAGGTCAGCGCACTGGATCATGAATAAAGATCTGTGGTGAAGAAGACAGAAAAGAGCAAACCTATCTGTCCGTATGCCATGCTGATGAGGCGTTCGTTCACCAGCTTGTCTGTTTGAGGGTTCCTTGGTTGTCGTTTCATGATGTCACTCTCCGCCATCTCATAAGCCAAAGAGATAGCCGGGACCTAGAACGATAGGAGGAACAGGATTGGGTGAGCTCTCCTTACACCCGTACGATAAATGTGCAGAAATTAGTTTTCGTGGCATTATTACAAAAGCTTGATGACAGTGCCAGAGACAGGTTACACCAGACAGATCACTAATAATTAGGGATGCACGATATTATCGGCATGGTATCGGTATTGGCCAAATTAGCGTTAAAGTTAAATATCGGGCGTTCCATCAAAATAACTCGCCGATATAAAAGAAGCTGTTTTTGTATGACAACCCAGTGACAAGGAGCACCAGCACAATGTGATGACGTCATGCGCGCCTACCTGGTCTGATCACGGCCGAGAGGAAAAAGTCAAAATGTCGGCGGTGTGGAAGTTTTTATTTTTCGTTGAGGATATCTGATTCCGAAGATTTTGGGACAACGTTGAGCCTCGCTACATCGTCCCCAGTCGGAGATATTTTTCCGACGTAGCCTTACCCGAGTTACAAGCCGTCATTTCCAACGTCACAGAGAAGCTAACAGCCGATAGCACTTGGGTGAGTTTTACCACAGACATTTAGACGTCATGTTAGCCCCGTTAGCATGATTAGTCTTATGGCACAATGGATAAACAAAAACTTTTAACTTAAAAAGTCTGTCCTTCATGCACAGGAGTGCAGAGGATCCATCACTGCAGCTAGGAACCTGGAACAAGCCTCCACAAGTGAGACAGCATCACAGGTGACTAATGCTGATAAATAACATTTAACACTTTTCATTTAATATAAGTTAAAGTGCTATGCATATCGTATGGCTGTTACTGAATATATGTCACCAGCTCTTACAGCTGTTGCACAATTTTTGTAACAAATAAGCCTAAATAAGAGGACTATGTTCTGACAAAGGAAAGTATATTAAAAATATCGGTATCGGTTATCGGCCAAATATGTTTTAACATATCGGCTAAAAATCCAATAATGTGCATTCCGACTATAATCGCACAATCTCTAAGCGGAGAGAGGAAAGAGAGAAAGAGGACAACGGGAGAGGAAAAAAGACAGTGACGACAGTGATGGAGAGGAAGGAGGGGAGAGGGGAGGGAATTTCAGGGCGTTCATAAAACAGGAAGGTAGAAAGGTCCCTGTAATAAAGACCATATATTGGCTGGTTTCACCAAGTGAGGACCAAAGCAATATGTCCAGCTTAGAGAAAGAAACCTCTGAGAGGTAGGAAGGATTTGAGTTGGGGACTTGGTTTGAAACTGAGCGCACATTCTCTGTACACTGCAAATCCAGTTTGCCTGGTGTTTCTCTCCTCTGACCTGCAGCTGCCGAAAAAGATGAGGTGAAAGGAACGATTGTGAAACAAAGTAGCTGGGACTGATTGTAAAAAACAGATAGTTTTTCAAATGTTTATTTCAGTTATTCTTATGCATTCATATATTAAATACTTCAGCTCATTCAAAAAAGATGGGTGCTTGGATTTTTAATTTGAGTAACTTTTACACACATATATATATATATATATATATATATATATATATATATATA